GCCCCCTGGGGGCGGGGAAAAAATGGCCCAAAAATTTTTTTGAGGTTTTGGGGGAAAAAAAAAAAGGCCCCCAAAATGTGGGGGGTTTTTTTAGAGGGGGGGGAAGGGGGCCCCCTTCCAAAAAGGGGGGGGGGTTAATGGTCAAAAGATTCCCCCCAACCAAAAAAGGGGGCCCCCCCCCCCCCCCCCCCCCCCGCCTTGCCCGACCGGCAGTTCTACTTCTTCACCCGTTGGGGGCGTACCGGTACCTCTGGCCAGGGCAAGCTGGAGGGCCCCTTCGACACCATCGACGAGGCCTCGGCTCTCTTCGCCGCCAAGTTCGAGGAGAAGACGGCGAACGAGTGGGACGTGGACGACCACGAGGACCGCTACGTTGTCAACAAAGGCGCGTGGTTTTGATCCTGACTTACAAAGTTCTGGTGCAGCAGTAGTAGTGCTTTCTTGGGCTGCCGCCACCCATGCGGGGGGGATGCTTGCAGTGAACGTGGCGTTGTGGTTCGGAAACGGGTTGTTGAGAAGGGGTGTTGTTCAAGACCTCGTCTGTTGTTCGTCGTCTGCCGTGTACTTGATCGGCCACGAAATATGACACAAGCTACGCAGAAACCGCAAGGAAGGTGTGTCGATGGATACTACTATGGTTGTTGTTGCCGCCACTGCTGCCGCTGTTTTTGCTGTTTTTTGGCCTTGCCGCCGCTGTTAGTAGTGCTGGTGTTGGGTGTTTGTCCCTATCACTATTACTGCTGACAGGCGGTTGACTTCACTTGTTTCGTTTTGGCGATGATGTCAATCTCTCGTTTGCTCGCGGGCGGCGCCACGCCAGGCAAGTACAAGTGCCTTCGCCCCAACGCTTCCCAGGTCCAGGCGGAAACGTGGGAGTACTGGGTCGACGACAACATCGACGGTGAGAACGAACCGGCCGCCCGTGCGCCTTGCCGTCGACGTTATTCCGACGTTATTCCGTTTCATTTTGAAACAAAGACAAGAATGACGTATGGTCCCAGGGTCCCTTCTTCTCACGTGTACTGCTGTTCCGGCCATGTTGCACCAAAGTTTTACTCACACTCGCGTGCGAGATATCCATCCCATGAGAAAGTGCCACGTGCTTGTTTGTCTGCCTGCCCACACATGGTTACATGGAGGACCAATCTGCTGGGGAAGTGTAAGGAAGGGATCAGTTTCTGTTTCTAAGCAACCTCCCCCCTTGGAGGAGAGAAAAAAGGAACAAGCTTCCCCATCTTCCAAGGAAACCCAGCATGGCACGCTCCTCGGCCAGACGCACGCACCAAGCCGTGCGGTGTGTGCTACTACACACACGCCCTCCATGGCTACGACCTTGCGCTCGTTTGTCTTACTTCCGCTTTCCTGCACCGTCAATCCCGTCATCGTGTGTGTCCCCTGGACACTTGAACCCCCTCTCAGGGAAAACCGACGGCTGGTACGACTACGACGACAGCGCCGCGATTGTCGTGGAGCAGCTCAACACAGAGTGAGTCTTGAGCCCCCCCCCCCCCCCCTCCCCTCGAGGGTGCGATTACGATGGCAGTGACGGTGCCGCGGCTGTAGGAACTGGAGCCGCTCAGGCACGGGGTATTCATGTGCGGCGTTTTTTGTTTCGAACCGTGTTGGTGTGTGCGTGCCAGGTTATAGCGGTCGCATAGCCCGTTGTAAGAAACAAGTACGGACCCCCACACGCACACGTGGTACGCGTACTTGAGTCCCCGCTACTGCTGTCACCCTTTGTCTACGTTCCTTTTGAGCAGGTTCCAGACCAACCCATCGATGAGCCAGAGAGTGGTCACCAGCGGAATGTGAGAAAAAAAATCGGCGTCGCTTCGAATGGAATATCTATAATAGTGGTGGATTGGTTGATTTATGTTCTAGATCATGACAGGTCGTTCTTTTGTTTTGGCAAAGAAGCGCAAGATGGAATCCATCATATCCCGTAGCATCGTGCGCAGCGGAGATTATAGTGTGTGTAGCATCCGTAGGTATTTCGCAGTTGTCTGAGAGAAGGGCCAGCTTACCTGGCACCAACGAACACACTAGATATCACGTTTTCACCAAAACTAGGTCTGCACTTCGACTGACGACATTTGTTGGTTCTTCATGAAGAATTGCGTGGGCGGGTGGCCGTCCGCACGTATGTTCTGTGGTTGAAAACCCCCAAGTTGGTAGCCAGGCAAACTTTTCCCATGTGGTAATGACAATCAGAGCCATGGCAGGCCTTGTAAACAGCGGCAGTCATCGTCCTTTCGCTCGCTCACCCATCCACGGCAATAACTACGCCCCCCCCTCCTCGATCACATGGTCGCATGGTCTAACGACTACGCATACAGCATGCGTTTACATGAGTGCCCCCCCCTCCCCCCTCCCCGCCCGCCGGCGTTTGCGAAACGCATGCTGAGCAGGTTCATGTACCTCGTGGACCTGGCTTTGATGACCCAGACCAACGTCGCTCACCCCAACCGGAAGATGCGCCACATCCGCCGCAACCCGGGGAAATCTCTGCCAAACACGCCTCCGGGGGTTTCCACGGGCAAGGTGCGGGGTTGTGCTGTTGCTCTCCCGTCGGCCTTGTGTTGGCTGCTGTGTGCGTGTCGTATGTTCTTCGTTCATGGTGGGGAGTTGTTGTGGCGGTATGCGGTGCAGCCGAGACAACAGTGTCGTCCTCCTTTTTTTGCTCTCCTTGGTTGTGGTCCGGTGCTTGGTTCTTCATCACACATCCCTTGGGTAAGTCTATTTGCTTGCTGTGCACCCGCTGCAGAGGACAATTAACTTTGCAATTTTCCCGGTTCCAAAGGATCGTTTATTGTTTGTTCTCTCGCCCCCCTCCCGCTATGCGAGGTCAAGGGTCTAACGACTACGGCATGCACGGTCGGTTGTGAGTACCCGCCGACACACAATCGTCGACAACGAAGACCACTCAAGGAGAAGCCACCATTTCGTTTTTTTTTTTCCAGCGAGCCGTCCGTTACAGTTCCCCTCTTGCCCTCTTGCCTGCTTGCTATCTTACGCTGGCTTCGGCCCGAAGGGTAAGGGAAAGGGCAAGGGCAAGGCCGCGGTCTCCGTTACGGCCCCTCCCTCGCCCGCCCCCGCCGCCTCCAACGCCGAGGTCGACAAGTGCTGCCCGAAGGCCGGCAACAAGGGCGTTTCCGTGCACGCCGGGCACGACGCTAAGCTTAACCAGACCAACATCGCCAACAACAACAACAAGTTCTACATCCTCCAGGTGACAAAAGAGGGGGGTGGGGGTCGCCGAAAACGGAGGTTTTCACGCCCCCTTTCGTTTCGTGTAGCACCTGTTGACGTACGCGTGCTGTCGCGTCTACGATTTACCACTCCCTCTCTCTCCTCGGGGGGATTGCTTGCTCGTGCGCAAGGTCGTGACCGCGCTCGTCTCGAGCATCCGGCACTGCCCGGTAGACCGCAAGAAAAAAGAAAAAATGGAGGCTCTTGAGGGAGGAATTATCGCTGCTGTTTGTTGTTTTTGTGCTTGTGGTTTTCAAGATGTAGACAAACTTAATCTAGACTGGTGTTGAGAATGTCATCCGGGACTGGTTGTTGTTTTTCAAGATGTAGACAACAACAATCTAGGCTTTGAGGGAGGAATACGATATCCTGCTGTTTGTTGTTCTTCGCCTTCCGTATTTCAACATGTCGACAAACAAATCGAGACTGTCGAGGAATGGTATCCGCTGCTGTTTTTGTATTGGACCTCTGTTTTTCAAAAAGACAAATCGAGAATGTGAGAAATGTTATCCGCTGGTGTTTGTTGTTTTTCGCCTCCTGTTTTTCCAGATGTGCCGCGATGCCGGGCGCAACAACTACTTCGTCTGGTGCCGCTGGGGCCGTGTGGGGGAGCTCGGGGCGATGGCTGAGCTGGGTCCTTTCAGCGACGAGAGCGACGCTTCCAAGGCCTTCGCAAAGAAATTCAAGGACAAGTCGGGCAACAAGTGGGAGGTGCGTCGTTATCGTAGTTATCGTCGTCGTCGTCGTCATCGTCGTCGTCGTCGTCGTCGTTGGTACTAATATTGTTGCTGTTGTTGCTGTTGTTGTTGTTGTTGTCGTTGTCGTTGTCGTTGTTGTTGTTGTTGTTGTTGTTGTTGTTGTTGTTGTTGTTGTTGTTGTTGTCGTCAGTGTTGTTGTTGTCGTTGTCGTTGTGGTGGTGGTGGTGGTGGTGGTGGTGATGTTCGTCATCGTGGTCGTTGTTGTTCGTGCTGGCGTTGTTGGTGTACCGATATTGTTTTTGGGGACTGGTGCAAAAAGGGCACACGGAGACCTCTTGTTGGTGTTTTTTTTTGTTGTGCGCGTGTGTCGTCTACAAAATACGCACCGAACACACGTCCGTCAGGCTGCCCAATTCTCACCCGAACGACCCCTCTTTCCCCTTGCGCTTTGCGTGCCCCCCAACTTCGCACCGGCTCCCCGCAGGACGCCCAGAACGGCAAGTTTACGGCAGTGCCCGGCAAGTACGAGCTCATCGAGACAGACAACTCGGACACCACCGCCGCCGCCGCCGTGGTTGCCGCCGGCGGCTGCCCCTCCTCCCCCGCCCGCCCCGCGAAGGTGCTGCCGTCGACGCTCGACCCCGCCACCAAGGAGCTCGTGGAGCTCATCTTTAGGTGAGCTGTGTATGTGGCAGCAAGTAGCACGGCGTTTGCGGAAGGTGTTGGCTTGTTTTTGTTGACCGCGGAGACGGGGCCTGAGTTGAGCTTTAGACACGATAGAAGAACATCATCGGCAGTGGTACCGTAGCAGCAAAGAAACGACGACAACATCGACCACCACGGCAACGAAAACAGCGACAATAGTGACGATGAGAACGCTTGGCAATGGTGTCATTCTTCTCGCCCTCTCCGCGTGTCGAAAGTGCCAAAGACTACTGACTATTTACCGCCTCTCTGTTGATAGTTTCTTATGCATCCGTAACGTTTTGTCTCTTGTCGGTCCGTCATTCTCGTTCTTCTTGCTGCAGCGAGGACATGTTCAAGTCTGCGATGTCGAAGATGAACATCGACGTCAAGAAGATGCCCCTGGGACAGCTCTCCAGTGCCCAGGTGCGTTAGCGGCGACTTGCGTACGCGCGTTGTAGGGGAGGGGGGCTAGGTGTTGTCGTGGCCACTACCCTAGGTTGGGGTGTGTAGGGATATGAGGGCGAAGTAGATCGGTCAAGTCCGCCGGTTCTGGCACAAGGAGAATAACTTATGCCACGGGCATCATCAGCAACAACAATAACAACAACGACAACGACAACGATGACGACGACAGGTCCAGCGCGGCTACGATGTTCTTGAGGAACTGGAGGACGCGCTCAAGACTACGGGCAGGAACAAGGCGGCCTTGCTGGAAACGCTTTCAGCCAAGTTTTACCAGGTAAGCCAGCAGCTCATGGCCGACCAAACCGCGAAACAAGAGAACAAAATACAGAAACAAACGAGGCGCGTTGGTTTCCTTCTTGCATTCAAGACAGTCAATCCTACGTGCTCGTCGGGGTCAAATGTGTTTCAGTATTTGTAATATATTTACCAGAGTGGGTTATTTGAGTGAGCGACGCTTGGTACACACAGTTTCTGTGCTCGATATGGACCTTTTTATGTTCTCTTCTGCATCGGGTTACCGATTCGGTTTTTCAATTCAGTTCTCTGTTCTCAGCCGCATGCCGCACGTCACACACACAACACACACAAAAACGAAATGGCAGGTGATTCCCCACGCCTTCGGGCGCTCTAGGCCGCCGGTGATCAACACGGACACCATGCTCCGCGACAAGGTGAGAGACTGATAGATCTATCATGGAGAAAAAAACGACTTTTACCGACAACACCAGACAAGAGAGTATGTTGGTGATGTGAGGAGAACTAGTCAAAGGCTGAGGAGTCGGTGGTTCTGAAATCCAAGACGATCGTTGGGTACGCTAGTGTCGGAAAAACGGGCTGGTGGGTTTCAGGCGGTTGAGATGTTTTTGCTGGTAGCCGCCAACCACCTATGTTCCAAACTGCGGCCGCTTGGGCCTGACCTTTTGTTCCCCCTTGGGGTTTCGTGCCGTGGGGATACTCCCAATCGCACCCCTAGGTCGAGATGCTCAACGTCCTTCAGGACATCGACGAGGCGCAGACCCTGTTGTCGTCTACGAGCGGCACCAAGAAGGGCAAGGGCAAGGGTGCCGAAAAGATACCGACGGTACCGCACCCCACGGACGTGAACTACGCCGCCCTCAACGCCGACCTCAAGCTGGTCTCGCCCGGCTCTAGCGAGCACAAGGCCATCAAGTGAGTCGGCGGTGGCGATGGAGCGCAAAGGACATCAATAGGTTGGAAATTTGTTTTTGTGCTGAGAACTTTGGCTTTGTTGTAGCGGAAGACTTTTGTTTGGTGCTGGGAGGCAAAAGTGGCTTGATTGGTATGTGTAGCAACGCACGACAGGTGGAAAAAGTTTGGACCAGGAGATCTGGCCAGAACTAGGCAAGGCTGGAGAGGCGGTGTTTTGTGTTTTGTCTTTTTCCCGCCAGCACTTTCGAATCTTTACAACGCCTCGGCTTAGAAAATATATCATCCATCAGCGACGACACCACCACCACCACCAACAACAACAACAACAGCAGCAGCAGCAACAGCAACAGCGCAGACAATGCAAGCAACAGTAAGACCACCATAACCCACAACAAACCACCGCTTTGAAACAGGACCTATCTGGAGAACACCAAGCCAGGCTACGGCGACATGGACCTGTTTAACGTCTGGACCGTGGACAGGGAGGGTGAGGGGCAGCGCTTCAAGGCGCACGATAAGATGACCAACCGCAAGCTTCTGTGGCACGGAACCAACGGTGAGGGGATTGGTTATGTATTTCAGTGGGGGCCCGATGGGGGGCAGCGCTCGATCATGTTGATTGAGTTCGTTGGCCGACGTCCGGTGTGGTAGTACTGCTCATTTGTGCCAAAATATGTAGAAATTACCGTTTTGTGTTTTTCTCAACGAAGAAAGCATCACAGCGGATCGCAACATCGCCGTTAGCGTTACCGTCGACGATCCTGCGATAGCGCTACGGCGTCCTCGCTGCTTGCTCTTGCCGCTGCCCCACATGTCTCACCGAAAGCTGTTCGCAAAAACACTTCGTCTCACACTAAATGAACTACACGTGTTTTTCTACTCGGCCGATCGCTACACCACACCCATCTGGACGAGACCTCAACAACAACAACAACTTTGGGGAACGTGCCTGCAACAACAACCGGCTGTAGGAAAACTCTGCTTGAAACAGCAGACGACATTGATCGGCGGTCCTTGATGACACCACACCGTTACCAATGCATTCCTTTCGGGTTGTGCTTGGCTGCATTGCTTTCGTGCTGCGCTTGACTTGAAATATCAGTCGCTGTCGTGGCCGCCATCGTCAAGAGCGGGCTTCGCATCATGCCCCACAGCGGCGGACGCGTGGGCAAGGGCATCTACCTCGCCTCGGAGAACGCGAAGAGGTGACATGAGACGAGTTAGTTCCGCTGGTGACACTGATGGTGTATGCGTGTTAGATTGAAACACTGTGGGTAGGGATGATAGGGTAGGGCACCCGGTGGTGCATGTGCAGTTCCACGCAGTTCCACCCAGTTCCACGCAGTTCTTCGCACACCAGGAAGGGAGCACCCCCCGCGCCTGTCCAGGACAGCATGCTCACGACCCTAAAACACAGAAACGCGGCGCAATAAGCGTCGAATGGATTCGTTTGTGTGTTATAATGTAAGAGAGAAAACACCGCCAACGACCGCGATGCCTCAACAGTCACTACACCGACATCAAACCACCACCACAAACAAAGAAAAATGAACAGCAGCAGGAAACGTAAACTTTTTTCATCGAGCTCTCTTGTTCCCGTTGCGTGCTCTCGCGCAGCCGTCAGTACGTGCGCCCAGCGTATGGGGCGAAGGGCCCCGGGGTGAACCTCGGCATCATGTTCCTGTGCGAAGCGGCCTTGGGCAACGAGGCTAGCATCACCGTCGACGACTGGAAGCTCACCAAGCCCCCCCAGGTGCAGTGGGCATCGCCGATGATAATGGGTTGGTTGCATATTGTGTGGCTTTTATTCTTGTGGAGTGCTCTTGTCGAGCTCTTGTGTAGCTATAAGGTGTAGCTCTAGCACATTTGCGTAAATCACAAGATAAGCTTGTCAGCTTGCGGGAGAGCCGATTCTTTCGTGATGATTGCGGTGAACATGCCTTGGCTCTTCCCAGCCGCAACAATAGCTCGCTCCCAGGGTGCACCCTTTTTGTGTCCAGGGTATCGTAGATCAGCCATCGTTGGCGAAGGTATGTACGGCGTTTGCATGGTGCCGTGTCCTAGTGTCCGGCGAGTGTCTCGTGTCCGGCAAACCGGTCAACGGCTGCTTCTCAAGGGTCTGCCCGCCCCACTCTCCGCCTCTAACACGAGGCCGCTCACGTGTTTACGAGAAGCATCTCACGAAGACCTGGCGATTGTTTTTGGATCACGTTTCGTCAACAAATGACATCAGTCGACGAATCTATCGAGCGGCTGGCTGTCTTTCCGCGTGTGGCCGTGAGGTACCGAGGCCCTGTTGTTCTGTTCGCTTCGTTTCAAGTGTTGAAATTTTTGTGGATTCCGAACGCTACGGTCCCGCTCGATGTGGGACTCTCCTGCGAACCTAGCGCTTCTCTGACGCGGAAATTACCCTCATTTTTTTTTGTGCGCGCTTGTTTGTGTCCATCGGTTCCCGAAAAACAATTTGTCGGTGCCGATGAAAAAGGGGTACGACTCGATCGTGGCGCGCGGGTGGCAGGAGCCCGATCCTTCCAAGGATGTCGTCATCACCATCGACGGGAAGTCGGTTAGCGTGCCTCAGGGCAAGCCTAAGACCCAGCCCAAGTACAAGGGCTCTAGGTTCTCCAACTCCGAGTACCTGGTGAGATATATCTATATCTATATTATAGAGAGAGGAGCGGGGGGGAAAGAGAGAGAGAGAGAGACGAAGAGAGAGGGAGAGATGGTGGAAGACGTTGAAAAAATACGGGAGGGAGCGATATTTGTTGGTTGTGGTGTGCACACGGCGGTGTCCTCCTCTCATTGGCGTGACGACGACGACAACGACAACGACAACGACAACGACAGACGCTTAATAGAACTACATTTCGTATTTACCAACTACGGCACAAGATAACACACCCCCTGGACCGACTTTCAAATGTCGATTTCTCAACAGCAGAAAGAGTCGCTGCGCCGAAAACGGCAGCATTGAACCCGTCTCGTCGAGAGCTTTCCGAAAATATATCGTTTCGTTTATCATCCTCTTCGTCGTGGCGCAATCGAGCTTTGAAATCGGTCGAGGGGGTGTGTTATCTTGTTTGTCGTATACGGTAGGGTTTCCATGACCGGGTGCCTCTCGCAAAAGGGACATGAACAACGTTGCTATTCGAAATCGGAAGCGTCATTTTGATGCTTTTTTTCTGTTGTGAGTTACGCCCCTTGTAGACCTCGAGACAATGCCGGACCTGTTAACGTTACCAGCTTTCTGTTGAACGTTGGGTATTTTCGGCCTTCGAGACGACCTCAGCTAACTTTTTCCCTCCCTCCCCCCTGAACGGATATATTATGGCAGGTGTACAAGGAGAGTCAACAGCGCATCCGCTACATGCTCACTGTCAAGTGTTGATTTCATCGCCGGGCCATGCGGGGACGTGCCCAAAGAAAGGCAGACACATGTAGACGCCTCGCTCTTTGGTCTTGTCGTGGGGTTGCGTCACATCCCAAACTAAGTCCTGCTTGGTTCAGCTCACGCCTGGATCGTGAGGGTTTATGCCCCTCGCGCTCGCAAGGAAAGTGTCGTCATGTATAATATTGTTCAATCTTCACGTGGTTTACGGAGCAACGCCCCTCGACGATGGTTTCGTCGCCCATGGGACGCGGCTTGATGTACGCCGGGTGGGTTTTATCAAGGCTGGAGGTGTAGACGTGCAGACTACGCAACCCATCATGCCACGCGGCTTGTTGTTGTTGTTGTTGTTGTTGTTGTTGTTATTATTCTAATTTATACAGCCGCCGGCATTCCGTTGGCTTGTCGGAAGACCGCGTTGTGGTTCTAGCTCGAACCTTTGCACTAGCTAAAGTGTTTTTTCTGTTGCAGTGTTTGATTTTATCCTTGCAATAAGTAGTCTAGGCTACACGCTGATGAAGTGAAATATGGTTTCGTGAAGTCCAGCAGAGAAGGGTCGCCATTGAATGGGCTGGCGGAGCGAGCGGCCACGTTATGCTCGAAAGCGCGAGTCTGTCTATTGGTGTGGGCACCGATGGTGAACGAATATGAATTTCACCCATTGTAGATACGGTGTGTATTGAGTCCTGCTGGCACAAGCCGTAAAGCTAGTATTTTCGAGTAAGTAACGTATTGATTGGAGGTTTTTTGTGGGGGTGGTATTTAAATGTTGTGATAATACGACCCTTCCTCTGGCGAGCAGTGTATCGGCGTCGGAGCAGGGTGAGGAAGTAGCAGCGATAGATGCCCTGGAGTGTGCCTGGCGCGATTGGGCGTCGCATCGGTTCTGTTCGGCATAAGGGAGCACGTAGCAGCAGCGCTTCAAGCGTAACGAATGGGCATAATGTGTGTATGCCAACGGCAAATATGCACGCGGAAAGGAGGTGAAGAACAACTGACAAACAGCACCGTTTGTTCAGTTTCTGTAAAAGGCAGCTCGCCGTTGTGTGCAGTCGTTTCAGGTGTAGGTTAGGCGTGCTTCGAGAGAGAAGAGTCTCGACGAGAATGCGGCGGTGTTGAGTGGACGTTGTTGTCCGCCGTTGGTAGCTGCTCTGAGTGACCTGTTTGATGGTGAGAACAACGAGAATAGATGTACTTGGAGCTTGGAGACGCACGTCCGGCAAGGTTGGTTGTAGATTTCCTTCTATTTGGCGGTTTTCTTCTCGAGTGGCACCAAAGGTTGCTGGTAGGCGTCGACCGTGTGAATGCCAGAAAAGATCGGGCAAAAACTCTCGACGAGAACGGGTTCTGAGATATGAGGCATTGGGCACCGGGCCGGCCGATGAAGGAGGCAGACGCTCTTCGTTTGAGTCCGTGCAGACTTGAAGGTCGCAAACAAGGCCGCCACGCGGCCGCCATAGAATCCGACAGAGCTCCCGGTATGATGGCGATGTGCTCAGCCGTGGTTGCCAAGTTGAGCAGGTCAAGACAGTACTTCTAAATACTAAATAATGTGATGATGCTGTTCG